TGGTTGCTGGGAGGCTTTAGAGAAGATGAAGATAGTTCTCAGAGGAGCTCTGTGGCAGAAGGATGGGTGGCACAGAACCAGGAGAAATCCCAGCTATACAAAAGGAAAATATTATCACCATGAGGCTGCTCAGACAAAGCACAGGAGCCCAGAAGAGCTGTGAAGCCACAGTACTTGAGAGTATCCAACCATGAGCGAATAAAGCCCTAAAAAGTGAATCCAACCAGGGCTGCTTTGAGCAGGAGCTTGCATATATGCACCCACTTCAACAGACAAGCTTTGGAGGCATCTTTCAGGATGCTGCTCTACAATCTCACCTGACTTGAAGAAGAAAAAAAAGTAAAAAAACAATATACCTTTGGCTCAGATAGCATTGACAATTCTTCTATGAAATTGCACTGATGGTATTTGCAGGAGCACCCAACGAGCTCCCTACCAGTGGCCCCACCTCTGCACCCAACATGAGCTGGGAGAAGATCTACTGCAGGCTCAAGAATCATGTGAGGCCCAGGTGTGTTAATCTGCCAAAGAATGGCATGAGGCCCATGCCTGTCAGTCTGGCAGTAATTTTAGAAAAATCATTCCTCCTGCCCCTTATTTAGCTATTGCTAGTGGTCATAACAAGAAGTGCCTTGAGTCAACAAAAGCTAGAGCTTGACTTCTACCTAGCTCTTATCCCTTCTCTTTGGTGTTGCTTTTCCTTTCACTTTTAATGAAGACAGGCTCCTGCAACCCATTTTTCAGCTATGAACATATATATATATTTTTATATATACACACATAAAATTAAAGGAACAGGTGAACAGGCACAAATTGTTCTGAAATTGTGGCTTGCAGTTACTTGTGGTTTTGAAGCAAGTTGTTTGCCAACTGAGCTTTTACATAATGTACAGATTTTAATCTATCCGTTGGCATGCCTGTCTATCTACCATACAATTCATATAAATATTAAGATTTGCAGAGCAGAATAGAAAGTGTTATCCTATATTGTACATAAAGGACTTAGAGGATCCCTGAAAGAGATACATGTAAGAAGCGGCATCTTAATTCTTTTGTTTCCATATATTTCCTATGTATTCCATGTATTTTCCTTGAGGTATGAAACTAAAGTTTCATACGTCAAGGACTATAGCAGCTCATTTTCAAAAAGAAAAAAAAAATCACAATAAAAAAGTTTACTGACCGTCCCAGCCTTAAACTTTGACACCCAGTTTAAAGGTGTATCCTAAAACTTCCTCCTCCTCAATTAGTCTGTGTTTGCAATCAGAAATCAAATCAAAAGGGAAACAGAAGTGAATTCCAAGCTAACCAACATGTGTAATCCTCTTGTTCTGTATTCCTGTTGAATAGGGGGAGGCTGGGAGGGTACTCATGTTTTGCTATCACAGGACAGACAACTAGGACAAAGAATGCAACTGTAGAAATGGAGAGATCAATATCCTGAGAGAATCCTGTAATATGTTGCAGCTCATAAGGAGCAGTAAACTACAGAAGCCATTTTTCTTACAATGATCTGGAATAAGAGACGAAGGATAAGTCTGGATGAAAGATGAATAAGCATTAGCTACTAGCAGCCTAAAATAAATGTCAAGTACCCAAACCAATCATAAAGTATGTTGCACGTGACCAGTTTCTGCAAAGATCTATAAAATGCTTCCTCATGGCAATTCAACTTCGATAGTATGGTCTCACAAGATTTTTTTATTGCTATTTCCAACCTCGAATACAACCTTCAAGGCTTCCAGCTTCACTAGAACACTCACAAAATAGTAAAACTAATTAAAAACCCAGTAAGCTTTACATTTCCTCTAAATCACTGCAGAGACCTTCTACATAAGAGTGACACCATTCAATCAGCCCAAGCAGTACCTCCTTGTTTACATCTTCTAACAGCCAGTTAACACAAAGTTATTTCTCATTTCTTTCCTTCACGCCTCCTTTCCCTCTCTCTGTTTCTTCCCTCCCTTCCACCAACAGGAGGAACAGAAATGCAAGGCAGGGATTTTATTACAAACAATGGAAACATTTGAAAGGTCTTAGAATGTTCCCAGACTCACTAGAGATGTCCTAGAGCAGCAGTCTCTGACTATTTCTGATGTTGCAAAAACTAAGTTTTTGAGCACACACATGCAATATATCCGCATTTATTTATAAATTATATACACGACCCACTGTACTATTATATAATGCACATTATAAAACATACATAACAAAAGGGATTTAAAAAGTATGAGAATGATGAAAGAACCACCACCAAAACAGCTGTAGAGCAGTAAGTCTCAGGGGCTTTGTTACTGATTATGGTAGAGGTAAAAAAAAGTTAGATGCAGCTTTACTCTTCATTATAAATTGTGATCAGCCAAGGTGCTGAGCATCAGCAGGCAGTGTATGTATCTGTGCTGTTTTTTGAACCCCACTTATGAATAAAGGCTTTCCACTAGATCAAGTTCTTGCACAACACCTCTCCTGCTGAGTATTTCTACTTCTGGAGTTAATACGAGATAACTTACACTACAACAGTATAGAACGCTTTGCTTTAGAATAAATGCTAGATGGCTGTCTATATTCTTTTATTCACGGATATCTTCAAAGAGCACAAGATACAAACTGATATAGAGCTCACTTAATAGGCTTTACAGTATTTTCTGCCTTACTGCTGACATCTTGCCTTTCACAACTGTATGTTTTTTGGTTGCATTGAAAATTTTTTTTGGAGGTATTAAAAATAGGTTGTTCAGACAAAGTTTTTTCTTTCAAAGCAGATAAGCTCTAATCATAATTTTCTTTTCTAAATCACAGCTACCAACACCACTTGCACCAACTCTTTGGCAAAGTTATATGACTGCAAGAAACACAGTGCACTCAAAAGCTGCTGGCCTTGGAGCACAGAGAAGCAATCTCCACTGTTCAAAGACTATTCTGTGCTCTCTTACTTATTACGGTGGCTTAAAGATGTTCAGCACTTTAACAATACATAGTAAAGACAAAGGCTTAGAGCCTCAAGGAGTTTACACAACTTTAATCTCTCAGTCCTGCAACTGCCACTGTGTGACTGGCCTGGCACTGGAGGCTACGCATTAATTGCTATGGAAATGAAATGAGTGGGTCACAGGTTCAAAACAGACCAAGGAAGGCTGTTAAAGCATGGAGACTTTTTGCACAGGGTGCTGGGGAAGATAAAAGCTTGTGCCTTGAAGCTCTCTAAGTTCTACTCTCTGCCCAGCCTGATCCGCACAGAGAAAAAAAACAACAAAGCCAAACAAACTAAAAGAATCCACAACCACCAAATGAGAGTTTTCACCCTTGCACACCAGTGAAGGTTAAGAACTCAACACTTCAGGAAACCATTATCCGACTACCACAGCTCTGCAACCAGTGTTGGCATTTTTAGGTCCTCCAGAAGTTCTTCATAGTCCTTACCCCTCTTGTAACTGTAGATGTCATGATTTATTCCCCCCCTCCAATACAGGCGAAAGAAATAGCACAAAGCTAAAATACTTATAGGTATGTTTTGTCCTTAACATAAGGAATAGAGCACCATCCTCACTGTAATAAACTTTTTCCCCATATCCCTACTCACATCTCTGCTTCCTCTTTCTTACCATTCAAAAGAGCCCTTCAGTTTTGCACATATATATGAGTATTCTCTACTTCCTCAGCCAGGTCTTCTGCTTCTGATCTGCCCTCATTCCTGATGTCTTGCTCTCCCTTTCTGCTTCCCATCTTTCAAAACATTACAGCACTCCTTGCCAGGCAACTATTCCTAGCCATCAAGCTCCTAATAAAGTGATTGGACAAACAGTGACAATACAATGTTTCTTATTACAAGCAGGCTCTGATCTATTAGCTGTGTCACAGTATCAGATCTATCATAAATGGATACAAAATTTATGTAATACAAATTTTATCAGGAAGACACAAACACACTAAACTTCCCCAAAAATATTCCAATTTAAACACTGCTTTCCAGTGACAAATACATAGTCTTAACTGGGATATCAGGATAATGTTTAAATAGATAATACCATTTTTCCCTTCCAAGAAAGCACAGATATCCTTTTCAATACCAAGATGTTGTAGTATCGGGACAGGTTTTCTCTTTGTTGTTTAAAGTTATCGGTAAAACACAGACAGTGCAGTTGGTAAAACACCGATTTGACCTAATCACCTTGACTCAAGCTTGCTAGAGAATAAAGCTGTGAATTACGAGATTACAAAAGTTAGAACCTACATTTCACAATATGTCAATATTGTGGCTACATTTGCCCATTATTTTATTACAATAGCACACAATACATCTGTCTTCTGTTGCTTTATGGAAAAAACCCACATGTACATACTAATCAGAGAGCCCAAAAACAAACACTTATTTTTCAAGTCTGCTTACTCTCTACCCACCACCGAGGTTGCTGTCATATCTCAGAACATAACATGAACAGACAAAGAAAAAGATTAAATATACAGCAACACAGTTTAACCACAAGGTTACAGTCTTTTAACTCTACCTAATAAATCTACCTGTATCTGTAAATAAGTTCCTTGGTTTGGTTTTGTTTCTTTCTTTCTTTTACCTGTAGATGCTGAAGGTCATTGGATAGGTGAGAAAAGGATATCTTTCCTCTGTTGTAAATGAAACAATATACAGAGCAATATAATCTCTGCATGCAACAGCAAAGATAGAAGTTAAAAGAAACCTTTGCTTGCAAGAGATTTAACTAATTTTTAATACCATGAGCCTACTAAACACAAAGCACATTTTTCTTTACCAACAATTATTGCTTTTTTACTTACGTGCGATAAAGTGCTGTGTATATCACATAAAATGATATGACTCATTTAGAGGATTTGGCTTCATGTGCAAGAACTAAACATGGTACCAGTTATCTCAGTAGTATATCCCCTAATGCCTACATCTCTCTATGAAACTGCACCAGTGATATATTTGTATTAGGAAACACAAACTACCACAGGACATAAAAATTGACTGAAATTATACTTACTGTAACCTGGGAAGCATCCATGAATTGTAGGCCAAAGTAATCAGTTTCCACAAGGTCCAAATGATATACAATTTGGTCAAACAACTCCTGTCCCTTTGCATTTTTCTGTAATAGAAAACAAAGTGTTGGTGGGTTTTTTTGGTGGGTGGGTGTGGGTTTGTTTGCATTTCTTTTTAATTTCAGATGCAGGAGAGGAGATGCACAATGGAAATATCTAAACAGTACATCTATTTATTCTAAAGAATGTATTGACATTCCTTTGTATCTTCTTCAAGAGAGATAACAGTGACACATTCCTGCCTGTAGCTATTCCAACAGCATCAGACTTCTTAAAGAAAACTTTTGAAGTTCACTGTAACCCAAAGTGTAGGAAAGAAAGGAAATGCTTAAGTTGTATAAGTGTGCTAAGTCACAGAGCCAACAATTTAAACCTCAGGAAGCCAAATTCTCCAGGAAAAGCTTGCTTGATGCACTGCCTGAAATCTGCTGGCTGCTATCACATATCAACAGCAGACATGCAATGTCATACCACCACTCAAGCTGCAAAATAAATTCTGGACAGCTGGAGTACTTGAAGAGCACTGTGAGGAAAAATGAATGGAATTTGGTACGAATTCTTCAATAATTGCAATCACATTTACAGCCTTTAAACGAAGAAATAAAAAAAAAAAGGCAAAGACAGAAAGCTACAATTTTTACTTGGCATGCCATCTGAAAAACATGGGCACAGAAACAAAACTCATCCCAATCATGGGGTACTAGTAGAAGTTAGTTAATCTTAAAGCTAGGTTGCATTAGCCTGTGTACTTGTTATGAGGTGAATCAAAGAATTTAGATCCTCAGTGCTTGAACACAAAACATAACAAGAAGCAAAGCTTGAAGGTTACAGGTGGATAGGAGGAAGAGAAAGTAACAAATTAAGTTTTCATGTCAAGCCTGTTGTGTTACCTGGGCAAGAAACATTTCAAGTGCTTGAGCAAAAAGAGCCCTTGGCTAAAAAATACATGAGCTGATCATAAAGCTCCGTAAGGGACTGAAGCTACAGGTGTACTTATATGTAGGAAAGTACAGATCTGGAATCAATTTTGTGCTGCTGTCCCTCATACACCTTTTGGGAATTTAATTTTAAATATTGAATTTTTTAGAGCTCTAACATATCAAGCATTCCTAAAAAAAAATCCAAAAATATATCAAAATTCACTGATTTCAGCCAAAAAAAAGAGCTAAACAGCATTCAATTTCTTTAGTTTGGCCTTCTGCACAAAAGCAGCATCAATTGTAACATGCACAACTCTAGCACATTCCTAGCTGTCTAAAATCTGTTTTCTCCAGCAAAAGACAAGATGAAGAGCTTCATCTCTCTCTCTTTTTTCCAAAAAGGTTAAGCAAGCTGTCGCTTGCCTACCCTGTAGGTAGCAAATTCTGGGTTTTTTTTAAACTTACAAAGCAGAAGCACAGAAATCAAAGCTTAGCAGATTTCACGAGCAGCATTAGGAGCTCCCTTAAAACAAGCTGTGTAAAAAATTAAAACAAGCATCAAATTATTGCAAGATACTTCATTATTTTGGTGGCACAGGAGGCGAAAAACAGACATTCTTTATCAGAGTTCAACATGCTATTGAAACCAGGTGACAGCTTCTCAAAGTAGTACATTGCTAAGAAACCAGGATCTTTAGACGTACACTAATTGCTATAAATCAAACAAAATTTGCTAAAAAGTACCCAGAATGTATTTTATTATATGCAATAAACATAGCACTTGCTAAAAGAAGCCAAACTAAAGCACAACAGAATTTAAATCAATTCTGTTCCAATGAGAGAGGAAAAAACCCTTCAAAGCAATTAAAAAAAACGACAAGAAAACCCCCAAAAAACAACAAGACATGAGGAATTCACAATTCCAGGAAAACACGGATTTGATGCTTTATGATCACGCTATTCCTGGCTGTTTACCTTATGGCATTAACTACCAGTCTGTTTATCTTCAACTGCACACACCCAATAGAAATCAGAGAGAGCACACTCCACCTTCTGTACCCAAATAGTAGTTAATGTTCAACACACATGTTACACGGAGAACAGCTCTGCACCGGACGGTTAGACCATAAAACGCAGTATTACATACATAGCTTACAGGAGATTATAACATTTAATTTGTCACTAAATGAGCTTTCCCAGCAACTCATACTACTTAGATGAGAAAGCTACAGCAGCCAACAAATTGCTGACAAAACACTTTTGAGATGTTACAGTAAAGGGGGAGATAAAAAGTGACTAACTTTTCCTCTACTAACAGTAAAGAATGACCTGTCCTCCTTTCTTCTGCTGCTTCACTGCCTGATAATATAGGGAGTCAGATTGCCAACTGGTAAACTGGTACCTGTGCATCCAGTGAAGTGGCTGGTATACGCAAAACAGAAGGGTTTTGCCTCGGGAATTGCATGTGGATAGAAGTCATCTCTAATGGAAAAAATGTCCATACTATGAGAAGCCTCTGATTTTCACAGTCTTTTCCATCTCTTCTCCTTCTAGATAATATAGAAGCTAAAAAAATGCTTCCTCTTTCAAAACCTGGTACCACATAAAGAATATGAAACTGATTTCATACAACAAAATTTTCATAGTAGATCTAATCTGCTGGAATTCAACAAATCACACTTTCTCTACAGACCTTTGACTTGCACGTATTTCTTAAAACATACAGCTGAAAAACTCCAGCTTTAAACTAAGAATATTTTACAGTCCTCCCTTGCTAGATAGATGATTCAGAATTGCCAGGTGAAGACAACCTGCATAACTCACACCTCAAAAAAGGAGTATATGGCAACAAAAAAATGTGTATACTATTCCACACAATTACTACTTTTTCATTATGAAAGTTATGGTACTTGGGAACAGTGACTTAAGTAAAGTTGTAAAACTATGTTTGGCAGGGTTTTTTTTTGCATCTTTGCTTTTATTTATTATTATTTTTTTTAAAGCAACAAAAAAACTACTGCCAGTTTCCAGTGGAGTGCTCCTTGGAACTCAGGAGGAACTCCTGTGAGAACCACAAAATGTCACAGGCAAACAGTGGGGAGGGATAACACACATTTCAAATGTCCAGCTTACATACAAAACTACAGAACAACTCAAGGTAAAAGTGAACTACCATGAGGGAGTCACTTGTGTCCCCTTTTGCTTTTTTGTCCTTGAAGAAACACAGAAAGACTGAATTACACATGCAAGTTGGGCAGCTTCACAGTAATGACAGACTATGGAGAGAAAGGGAAAAGGAAAGGCTGGGAAAAAAAAGGAAAGGCCGGGAAAAGGAAAGGCCGGGAAAAGGAAAGGCCGGGAAAAGGAAAGGCCGGGAAAAGGAAAGGCCGGGAAAAGGAAAGGAAAGGTGTTCCTCATGTCAGTCAGCCCTGTACTGACTGACAGACAAGCCAGTTTCCTACATTCTGTGTCCCAGAAACCCTTCTCAAATAAACCTGCATCATATTTTTAGGGGGACCATGAATCACGGCATCAAATAAAATTCTTACGCTGAATGAGGATTTGTTGCCAGGTCATGCTCCAAGGACTCAAATCGGCATGGGTATAAAGCCCCTTGTAGAGCAACAGTGACAGCTGCATGGCCCATGTTTCAAGCAATCTAAATTTTTAGCTGCTGAAGACTTAGGGAATCTATGGAAATTCTAGTCAGCTAAAACCTGACAAAACAAAGATTAACTTCTCTAATTAGAATCTCTTCCAGACTTGACATGTGAATTGGCAAGAGGCTTTAACATGCTTTTGGTGGGCATGAAGGAAAGGGCAGATTCATCAGCCGGGGATATTTCACACCAACTGGCCTGTCTAAACAGGCTGATCAGTGTTGATTTTAGCTATTCCAGAGTTGTTTGAAAGGCTTTTGCCAAAGGGCACGAAAAGAGGACATATAAGCCAGAAATGTTCCATTTCCATGTAGATACAGCGCAAGAATGCCACCGAACGCTCTCAGATCACATGCAGCAGAGCTGGAGAACTTCTGTGCACAATCTTTCCCAAACTGAAGCACAGTATATAGCAACCCAGCACAGTGCCTTATGCAAACCCAGGTGAAGTGGCTCAAATTGTTGAGTCATACAAGAGAGTTCAGGTTATAGCATTACAAATGAACTATTAACAGATTTCAGAAACAGCTGAAGGTGTGCTTGGGAAGATGTCGCCTCAAAAAGGCCAGGAGGTACCTGAAATAGCCTGCTAGTCAACCAAATGATAACTAAAAAAAAAGAAAATAAGCCACAGCCACAAAAAAAAGTCAAAGCCAATTACCTGTAATGTGTCCCAAACCGTATAGTGAGTAGTAGCAGAAATAAGTAGGAAGGGCAGTTTTAGATTCTTTTTCTGAAGAAAGCACAGGATTATGTATTCTGCAATACATCCAATATTTTTGTAGAGTGCACTGCTATGATCTCATGGTCACAGACACCAGGTTTCAACTTCTAGGAAGTTAGTAAAGGAGCATTTGTAGTTACAATTCTCTGCTCCACAGGCCTGACAGTGCCATGCCCTGACAGCATCAGCATTTCGTCTTATTAGCATTCTTGGAACAGGGCAGCTCAGTATGTTCTGATCAGTTCTCTTACACTTGAACTGTTAACAGCTCATTTCTCAAACCTACAGCTAAAGCTTTATCTGCTGGCCATACTGCTTAATAGTGAGAATTCGCTTGGCCTTTAAACAGTCACAGGCAATGCTGTTTGCCAGTGTTTCAGACACACTACAGGCTAAACATGCATAAAGCCATCTGAGCTTCTAATTAGTCTTGACTCCTGATGCTCCTTATCATCTGTCCTTTAACTTACTTTCTTCAGTTTCTCAAAGTCATTCACCTGTATTAAAATAAAGCAGTATCTGCATAATTTTAAGTACAACAATGCAAGTCTCTCTATTCTTATAAATCAGTTCATTAGATCCCTTGGGAAGAGGGTGGGACAAACACCACTCTCTGCAACCCCTGTGCTTGGGTCACTGAGGGGTATGTGGCTACAAGGAAGTAATCCTTTGGATCACTACCCTTAAAGACATGTCAGAGTTAGCTCTTAACTAGAAAGCAACACATTAGCATACAGCACAAT